GGGGGGGGAGGGCGGGACAAAGGTCAAACATACCGTCAGGATGACATTCATTGTAGGGGTCACCAGTTTGACCCGGTTCACAAACACAATAGCCGTCTTGACAAAGGGCACCATAGCCACATCGTACGCCAGCACACCTTTCGTCTAAAGATTGCGATCAAAAGCTAGAATGTTTTCTTTTTGGAATTTGCTAGCACAAAATTATCCAAATGTTCACCATTTCAAACTTTTTATATATCATACGTCGAAAAAAACAAATACTAAGCATTGTAGAAGCTAATAAAGGTAAAATTTGCTAATGGAAAATGAAATTAAACAATATTTGTTATATTATCCGAATATTTACACAGCATATTAAAATTTGGGAAATAGCGGGGCAGGATTTTATTAACCTAATTCGAAAGTCATCTGATGTAATAATTTTTTTGTTTTAACAATTCTCTGCTTTCTCTTTTTTGCTCCTTAGCCTAAATGGAAAGTTTTTAATAAAATTAAATTATATTATGATTAAAAAATGAACTATACCAGTTGCGTCCGATCTGCACTCGTAATTTGGATCTCCCATAAATCCAGGCTCACAGACACAGCGGCCCTCCGTACATTTGGCGTTATGACCGCATCGAACGTCCTTGCATGGATCTAAAGAGATAGAGACGCGCAATATTTGAAAAATTTTATCGGAAAGGAGAAACAGATAGAGTGCGCATGACACCCTACATGATTTTCGAGGGATTTCACACTGACAATCCTGAAATGCAAGTGAAGTACAAAATAGATCTCTACACCAGACAAACATTCAATCCTAAGAAGACTTATTAATATTATATCAAATGGCAGGCGTCTTGATGGTTATCATTACCCCTTTAGTTGACTTCAGGCTCCACAGAGAGGAAGGTACATTAAATTGAAAAGAGTCGAGAGGGAAGGGGGGAACAGAAGAGTGGTTCACAGATGTAAAAGAGGCAGGCAGACACAATGGTAGAAAAAAGGTGAGGTGAGTACTATGGAAGAAGTCGAATATGACATATAGTGAGATGATGGTAGTTTCAAGACTTAAAATGTCTTTTATATATATGCATGCGTCAATTCCGAACAACAGTGTTTATCATCCAAGTGATCTTCGACAACGTCTGAATGTCGATTTGGGTTACTCTTAATTTAGGTTCATACCCAATCAGTGAAGTTTAGAGGTCAGTTCACTACTTCAGAAGAATTCATGCTGCAATACCTCAAATGCACCAGAAATGTTAACTACTGATTTTCAACACGTGCAAGATAATTCTGCAATGCCGTATAGCCACGAATTCAAAAAATGAATTTCACTTCGAAAAACCCAAGCATTTTAATCTTCATGCTCATCAACATCATTACCATCTAACGACCTTTTCTTCCTAGCAGATCGCCTTGTCCATCCTACAAAGTGAACGAATTCACGGCATTTTACTCAATGGAACACAGAGAAGGCATGCACACGCTGCATTTTAACCGAGTACCTTCACAGAATAAATTACACTCATTCTCAGTCAAAAAGTTGTTCTGATTTCCCCGACAACCTCCATATGCATACCTAATGCACTTTCCATAGAGATCATAGTATCCATATCGCGTGGAACGATTGCTGCAAGGTCCAGTTCTAAGTGGCATAGCGCAAACCTCATCTCGTAAATGCGCTGGGCATGGTAGGGGAAAAGAGATGTTTGAATATTTGAATAGGATAAGGTAGAGTCCAGACATTTTCAGATTTTTTTCGCACCTGAAACCATTCCACCCTCGTATGATAGACCCAACTTGAGACGCGTTCGCTTACAACTTACTCGAGGATTGCCTTCGTATCCTAGCAGACAGACACATGACCCAGAAGCGCAGACTGCGTTCTCACCGCACATGGCATTTGAACAGGAGACTGAAGAAATTATTTCGGTTATAGAGTGCTTCCAAATGTACATTCAAGTGAGCATGCATTGGAAGCATTCGTTAAGGCAAATGACAAAAAAACATAATCGCTCAAAACATTCCTTCATGCATCATTTGAAGAATGGTTCAACTTTTTTAATCATCAGGAACTGAAATGGAAACTTTATCGGTTTTTCGCCGACAATTTCTTAATCAACACTGCTACTGAGAAGCTATAAGTAGGACGAGTTAGCAACCTCGCCAGTCAGTTCAGTAGCACTTACTAGCAACATTGATATTAGAGCAAACCAATGAAAATCGGCGGACCACATCCCAGAATGCTGTGGAGAAGCGATCCTTCATCTCATCTACTTATTGGCACACTATTTCACCTGTCTTGCCCTTTCATTCTACCTTTGCTTCTCAATAACATGTGATTATTCCCAAGGCTTAAATTCATCAACGAGAGGGTCAAACATTTCATCTCCAATCACTTACAACACCAATAAACAAACTCCATAACTAGGAAGCCCATCATAATCAGGCCAGACTTTAATGAAAATATTGCTATAATGGGTTGAAAATATGGTATCGCAACACGACATGCCTCTATGTCAGGACTAAACCGTAGATTCCATCAAGTATACGTTTTCCCTCAAAATACCTCAGTACAAAAAAAGAATGCTCATGCTTTCAACACTTCGTGCAGTGAAATAGGATCCATACTCGTAGCACCTAATACTACCGTTACAGACGATTTCGCATTCAAGTTTGGTAGCAAAGCTATTCTCATTTCCGCCACATCCGCTGTACCGAAAGGGTTCGCATAGCCCAGATGGCGGAAAGAAGCCATATCTCACTTCTGATCCCTGGCACGGTCCAGTTATCAGAGGTAGATTGCACAGCTCCAGTACTAGATGCATACTCTGGACTGGAGACACCAATACGAAGAAAATATGGTCATTAGTAAGTTAAGTGGGTTCATAGTGGAATTAATTGTTGCTGCCATGAGGGACGAACATTACTAAGTGAAGGGTTGAAACAACTTTATTTCACATTTCCTCTGTTAAAGTCATGACTTCAATAAGATCTTTTCCATCACATTGATTGAGCAGTGACCAGTAGAACTTCAACTTAACACCTCTCCAGACAAGAGCATAATTGAAAAGTCGAGCAAATATGTGCGGTCAATGGGATTCAGTGATTTTAATCCTAGAGATTTTTCAGGTTATAACTTAAAAAATACTGCACAAATCAGAAGCACATATACTCAATATGACATACTTTTTTTCTTTTCTTCGATTTTGACTTTATCTTCTGACAACCGTAGCTTGTAAATGCGGGTTAATGAACATGAAATACGATGTTTTTTTATTTTAAACCTAGCTATATGATGAATAATTCTAAAACTGCATTCCTTTACGCCAAGACATGATCAGTTTTGACAAATCGTACCAAAACCTTACCAATTCAAGCTTAGATTTAAATCTTGATATGATTAGATCCAAATAGGATTCATTTAATTCGTTTAGATAGTTAGATATTAAAATTAACGTTAACTGATGAAGAACAATTCAAGGGCTATGGGTTAGCTAGGTAATTTCTATTAGCTCATTAATCAGTAGAAATAAGTCCACCGTCTAATCCACAACATTTTCAGTCTAAGCCTTCCTCTCTAACACACACGTACTTCAGTTGAACTCTGACTTACAAGTAAACTCTCGTTTTGTCAAGGTTAACTTTACACCCATAACAGGATGCCTACTTTTAATTACCAATTCCTGCAGTCTATTGATTAGTTCCGACATTTCACCTACCGCATATATAGTTTCATACAGTTATACCAATGACTCATCACCCTTACTTCAGTTACATATTGATTTTTACACGGTTTAGTCTAACTGAGATTCGGTTGAATTACAGTGGTGGCTTTAATTTAGCAATTTCTGAACAGTTATCCATACCAATAACTTCGGAAACTCTGCATTCCCTTTCACATTCTTCATAAGTGTTGAAACGATTTTCATTTCCCGAACAGCCAGAGTAGATGAATTGTTCACAACGTCCACTTCTTGAATCGTAGCCGTAGCTGATTATACGTCCAAAACAATTTCCAGCTGCAATCGGCAGACGGCATTTTGGATTGGATGGTGGATCTAAAAAATCAAAAACCAAAGTACATTTGAACAAACCGTATGCTATTTATTTATGAACTGAAGAAGAAATTTCACTCACAAGCACCACCAATGGAACGGCAAGATTGAAAGGGATCACCATAGTAGCCCTCATTACATACACATTGTCTATCAACGCATTGGGCATTTTCACCGCAGCGATAACCACCACAGAGTTCAGAGTGACCTGGAAAACAAAGACCTGACTCAGAAAAATTTTAAAAAAACTATAGAAGGTACATTAATGAAGGGCCCAGATACTATAAATCTCAATCGATAGATTGAGATTAGATGGACATTTGAGTAAATATAAGCAACTGTTAGAAATAGCAGGTTATTTATTTCAGTAAAAATAACATGCGGTGTTATCACCTATCAAGAGAGGCTGCTGAAAGAGATAGATAACATCTAAATTTTAGAGGGACCATAAACATCAGTACAAATCAAGGAGGCAAAATAATACAGGGATGATTAAAAAGCCATCGATCGTACATTTGGAGAGCGAATGTGACTACCTACCTGGTGTAGAAACTGGTCGACACTCCACATTCGCATCACCTTCATGTCCTTGTTCACAATAGCAATATCCACTCACACAGTAGGCATTGCGACCACAACGAACTCCAGCACACGGGTCTTCAAAACACAAATAAACAATTCCCATTTTACTCACACTCCACTCCCAATTCAATTCAGTTCGATTCGATTCAACTCAATCAACACAAAATAAGCCAACAAATTAAAAACAAATAAACATATGACAAGCGAATGGGCATTAGAGCACATTCCATTCAATTCATGCAAATTAGCACGCCATATCAACATACCTCTCGACACAGACGATTCACAACGTTTTTGGCATTCCTCCATATTCTCGAATCTGTTGTCATTTCCCTCACAACCACCATAGTAGAACATCTCACAACGACCAGATGAGGTGTTGTAGGTGTATTTCAGCACATAGTCACTACATGGACCCATTTCTGAAGGAAGACTACACACATCGCCAACGGTGCCACCTGTCTCTGGTGGGGAACCAGTTCCTGAACCTCCACAACGACGTTCACACTCTTCTTCTGTCTCGAAATTGTTGTCGTTTCCTTGACAACCTCCATAAGTGAAGACTTCACATCTTCTCATTGAGGGATTGTACNACCTCCAATGGCACCAGTGCCACCTGTTTCTGGTGGGGAACCCATTTCCGAACCTCCACAACGACGTTCACACTCTTCTTCTGTCTCGAAATTGTTGTCGTTTCCTTGACAACCTCCATAAGTGAAGACTTCACATCTTCTCATTGAGGGATTGTACGCATAGCGTTGCATTGCTCCTCGACATGGTCCGGGATCAACCGGTTTGCTGCAGATGTCCTCGATTCCTTCTGGAGGTGGTCGTTCTATTTCCACAACAATTTAAAAATGCTTACTAGGATTTCGCCGTAAAAGGTGTAGATTCCATGAGCACATTTATAAAGATCTTGAGACCACGATAGAAAAAATACCAACTGCCACCATACCAAATTCATCATAATATTTCCCATATTGCAGTAAACCACCAATATATGTTCAATACATACTGAATCGAATATGAAAGTAGGCTATTAAATCTTGCGCCATGCCAACTAAAGTAAGCAACTTGGAAGAGGCACCTAGAGTACTTGGATACAGCGGCCACAATCAAGTCGTTTTGTGGAAATGGAATGGTATGGATTCACTTAGATACAGCACGCAGTTATTACATTTCCATAAGTGCATCGATGCAAAGATTTAACAATAAATGAATTTTAAAGACAACAAAAAATAACTACGATATCGGCGTACCTGGTGTGGAAATTGGTCGACACTCCACATTCGCATCACCTTCATGTCCCTGCTCACAATAGCAATATCCACTCACACAGTAGGCATTGTGACCACAACGCACTCCAGCACACGGGTCTTCAAAACACAAATATATACAATTCTCATTTTACTCACACTCCACTCCCAATTAAATTTAACCAACTCAAAATAAGTCATGAAATTAACAAACTGAAAGCAAATAAAAGTCAAGCAATTGGCAACCAGAGCACGCACCATTCAATTCATGCAAAATTAGCACATCACATCAAAATACCTCTCGACACAGATGATTCACAACGTTGTTGGCATTCCACCAAATTCTCAAATCTGTTGTCATTTCCCTCACAACCACCATAGTAGAACATCTCACAACGACCAGAGGATGTGTTGTAGGTGTATTTCAGCACATAGTCACTACATGGACCCATTTCTGAAGGGAGACTGCACACATCACTACCGACACCACCTCCAATGGCACCAGTGCCACCTGTTTCTGGTGGGGAACCCATTTCCGAACCTCCACAACGACGTTCACATTCTTCTTCTGTCTCGAAATTGTTGTCGTTGCCTTGACAACCTCCATAAGTGAAGATTTCGCATCTTCGAGTCGTGGGATTGTACCCATATCGTCGCATTGCTCCTCGACATGGTCCTGTATCCATCGGTTTACTGCAGATGTCCTCGGTTCCTTCTGGTGGTGGTCGTTCTATTCCCATGACAATTTAAAATGTTTACAGTTATATCGCATTTACTTTAACGTTGCTTTGTTATCGGACTATTTTTTCAATTGCCTTAAATTTAAGTTGATTTCCTGACACATATCTCTACGTCTTTCATTCAATATAATACCACAATCAATTTTCATATGATCCATTCAAGCCTATTCTATCGTTCCTCCTATTATGTTAGCCTTAGGTTGAAAGTTGCCTTCAATTCTAACGAATCTAATCCAATGCAATTCTCTAATTTAAGTCTTGGCGAAAAAAGCCATTCCCACTGACATGTTGATTGAGTCAATTTCCTCCAACTCTTCTACAAAGAACGTTCTCATTGAAAATTTGAATTTTTGCACAACAAAGATAATTAGAAGGGGATGAACATGCTATGATATGGTCATCTGATGCACCTCAGCCTCATGGAGTCGAATATATCATCCAACCAATTGAACGCACGAAACGAAGGGTGTCAAAGCAGTGCAAACTACTGACACTCACGTGATATTTCTATCCTGGAACAGCACAATACCACTGCTATTTTCGATCCCATAAAGCATCATGCTAGCTTCACTTTATAGAGGTAAGCGGAAAACCGAACAGAGTACAATGAATAACTCGCGCCATTACACCCTTACTAACGATTTTACGTCAAAAGTGGGGAAGGTGATCCAGATCACAGAGAGTGAATTGATTAACTTTGACTCAGAAGACAAGGACCATGACAACAGTAGTGATCGCAATTCGGCAAATTTTATTCAGCTTTGCTTTGGTTTGCCATAATTGAATATTAACGTATCAGCGAATGCAAAGGCACATTTCACCATGCTAACATGACTTTTGCTTTCAGCAAAGACTAAAAGATCTAATTAGTCAGAGAAAGATTAAAACAGGATTTTATAGCTGAATGAGAAAATTAGATAAACAAATAATATGATCAATAACTAAATGGCATATATTTGCTAATGAAATATCGAAATAGGTCGAAAGATTTGTCAGTAAAATTTTGCCATTACGTTCTCATGACGTGCAACGATATGTATCTATGATAAAAGTGTTTACGATTTTATAAACTAATTCACTTATCACAACAACATCAGCTCACATGTGAAAATGGGACAAATGGGGTCTTCAAGTCAACAAAAAATAGCCACAAAATCAGCGTACCTGGTGTGGAAACTGGTCGACACTCCACATTCGCATCACCTTCATGTCCCTGCTCACAATAGCAATATCCACTCACACAGTAGGCATTGTGACCACAACGCACTCCAGCACACGGGTCTTCAAAACACAAATATATACAATTCTCATTTTACTTACACTCCACTCCGAATTCAATTCACTTCTCTTCGATTCTACTCAATCAACTCAAAATAAGCCAACAAATTAAGAAAAACTAATAAACATATGTCAAGCGAATGAGCACTATAGCACACTCCACTCAATTCATGCACATTTAACAGTTCACATCAACATACCTCTCGACACAGACGATTCACAACGTTGTTGGCATTCCACCAAATTCTCAAATCTGTTGTCGTTTCCCTCACAACCACCATAGTAGAACATCTCACAACGACCAGAGGATGTGTTGTAGGTGTATTTCAGCACATAGTCACTACATGGACCCATTTCAGATGGGAGACTGCACACATCACCACTGACTCCACCTCCAATACCACCAGTGCCACCTGTCTCTGGAGGTGAACCAGTTCCTGAACCTCCACAACGACGTTCACACTCTTCTTCTGTCTCGAAATTGTTGCCATTGCCTTGACAACCTCCATATGTGAAAATTTCGCATCTTCTCGTAGATGGGTTGTATGCGTAACGACGCATTGATGCAAAACATGGTCCAGTGTCAGTCGGTAGACTGCACACATCTCCATTTTGTTGTGGAGGTTGTTCTACTGTGTTTACATGG